TAATAACTTTTTTTCTATAAAAATTTTTAAAATTATATAATAAAAATAGATGTTAGCAAAATTGAATGCTAACCTAAAAATATTGAGAAACAACATAAAAAAGGTGAAAACAATTAAAGGATAGAAAAAAAACATATTGTATTGGTGGGTAAATGATTGATACTTAAAAGTGTATTTTTATCAAGGTTTTATATCATCATTTTGCACTTGAAGTATCAATAACTCCTTAACTAAAGCATGTTTTATAATAAGATATCTAATAATATAAGATACCTTTAATTTATGGTAAATATTCATTTTAAATGCAGGCCTATCACATAAATGAAAGAATTGATTGATGAACTTAAGAACTGAAATTGAAAGGATAAAGAGATGGCCAAACTTAGAAAAGAGATGTCGGTGCAATCCAAACCGGAACACTGTTCGGTAATTGGGTCATATCTGGAGCTATATATCTCAGATTTAGGTCCAATTTATATGGATGGAAAGGTAAGACATAGGCCTACAACTTTCATATGGAGCCCAAGATCTAAAAAGGCCATTATCAAGTCCAAATTATAGCAACAACAAAGAAGCCCGAATCTGTCTTCCAGCCCGAGCACTGTTCGGTATTTTGGCCATATCTGGAGTTCTAGAAGTCCAAATGAGCTGAAGTTTTTACACAAGAAAGCTGAGACAATTGCCTACAACTTTCATGTTTGCAACTGGCTCCAATTTTGACGTTATCAATGACGTTTTGGGCAGACAAGAGAAGATAAAGATTGTCACCAAGTCAAAAGTTGGCCACCCACTTATCAATTAGTCATCAAATCAATAGTTCCCAATTTTGGCCTATAAAAGGAGGCATTTGCCATGAATTTAGGCATCTTGGTTTCCAGATCAAGATCATGCTCTTCCTTTCTCTCTTTGTATTTTTTATGCTTTGTTTTCATTAATATTAAGTTTATGCCTTTCATTTCCTTTCCTTTACTTAGTTAACTTTTATGTTCTTATTTTGTTTATCTATTTTGCTTTCTTTCATTATGTCTAGCTAAGTTAATTATGTCAAGGTGAAAAGGTTACACTAATGGTGTAAGAATAAGTATAATGTAAACTTAATATGAACTTTAATGTTTGATACTAACATGTTTTATATTTGTTATCTTGTTCACTCTTTAATACTTTGCTTGTTAAATGACTAATCTTGATTTATGTTATATAACACTTGGTACAACAAATGCTTGGCACTTTCATAGCCCATAATGTATGGTATAACCGACACCTGAGCTATGAAAGGAACTTGATTTATTGTTAACATAAGTTATAATCATGAATGCTTGACGAGATTTACAAGTATTAGCATTAATTGAATAAGATGACTAATGTAATCATGTTAACAATATATAATGTAAACTCGTAACACTTGTGAAAGAGGTAACTTAGACTAACACACAAAACCTATGAGCCAGATTATAGACTTCACTGAGATTATAATTTGTATTTTTAAAATTTTTTTTTTAAACTACATGATAACAAAAATAAAATATCGCTAAATCAAATACCAACCTAATATCGAAACATTTTTTTATGTCAAGTTAGCTTCATAGAAAGTGAATAAATCAATTATAAAATTGAATTTTTAATTAACCCAATATCCAATGATGGAATTTAAAACAAAAATTAATTAAAAAAAGTTCAACTCACAAAACTCACGAATTAGGTCAACCAGCTAAATTTGTGAACACATTCATAAACTTTATAAAGTTTATTAACTTGATTTTTCTTTTAAAATAGTTTTCTTTTTAACTATATAAGAAAAAAATAGAAGATAAAAAAAAGTTAAGATCAATTAAAAAAAAAGACACTCACCATACCTGTAAATTAAGGCACCCTTAATTACTCTTAAAAACCTCGCAAACCACACTAACCTTATAGAAAGATAAAATAAAAAAACAATTTATAAAGCCAAATTCTAATCACCCAAATATTAAATGATAAAATTAATATTTTTTTAAATCACAATAAAAATTCAATATTAAAAGGAAAAAAAGAAGAAGCAAAACATTGTAATCCACAACATAATAAGTATAAGTGAACTATGATTTCTCCATACTCTTTAATTTTTTTTATTTTATAAAATTTAATAACATGACTTTTCTCTAAAACTATTTTTTCTTAACTATACGAGAAAAAACTATAAATTAGAAAAAAATTCAAGTTTAATTATAAAAAAAAAGGAAAAACGAAGGCACCCTATCAAACATGTAAACCGGGGCAAGTCATAAACTACACTAATTTTATAAAAAGATAAAATAATAAAAAATTACAAAACAAAATTTTTCAATCATTTCAATATTAAAAAATAAAATTAATAAAAATTAATTCTTTTAAAAAATCATAAAAAAATCAATAATAGTAAAAAAACACTATGAATAACTTTGTGGAATGAATATGGGTAAAAAATGGTTTGCTTTCCCAAACCCTTTAGTTTTTGTAAATTAATATATAGTTATTTGTTAGGCGAATTTGACAAACAAATGCATATCTATTTTTAACTAAAAACAAAAGGGTATGCGGAACGACGCAAAAACTAGTTTACAGGAAAATAAAAGCTTGAGATGAATTCCATTTCACTCTTTACTAATTTCTCGTGAGAATTTCGTTATCTCAGTATCACAAGTCACAGATATGAGATAAGACAGCAATTAAAAAAAATATCAGATCATTAACCCGCAAAGAGAAAATCATCACGTGACAAATACACGTGTCAGACTCTCAGTCGAAGAAAGGCGTTGCCACCGACAAGTGGGCCCCCGGCAATGGCAATGGTGACTTAAAAGAGTTTCGCACGTGGTAGGATACCGGAAAAACCAGTAACCATACTGGATAAACCGGT